AATAATTGATCAGATTTAGTTGTACTTTTAAGAACAAACATTGAATTTGAAACAGATAATAAAATAGAAGGTAATAAAATTATTTTTCTAAACACCTAAAAACTTGGCTAATTATATGTTTTTATTATTTAGAAGCAAAGAAAAGAATGGACTTAGATGTAATAATGGACAAAGATGATATAGATAATTTACAATCAAGGAAAAAAAAAGAACTTATCTATTATAGAAGAAAAATTTGATAATGCTGAAAAACATATAATAATGAGGTATTTGGGAAAATTGATAAAATTCTTGTTTATGTGTCCATTTATTTATATATAAATTACTTCCCACTTGGCTGGGCTTTGAAAGAAAATCTGGAATTTGGAAAGAAAGGTGGTGGAAAACATATGTCTGATAAAGTAGTTGAGTTATTAAAAACCTTTTTTCATCAGGTGATGCATGTAAAAGTGAATGGTATACACCTAAAGAAATGCTTGAAGAATTGAAAAAAAAGTGGTAATTGACATGTCAAAAATTAAGTATAATTGAAAATTGGATTGGTAGGTATTCCAGACAGCACAAGCTAGCAATTGCTAAAAAACAAATAAAATAACTAAATAAATAGTTTTTATTACTTTCCTCAAGTAAATCATAATAGTGAATTTATTTTAATAGTATGTTTTTCTACCCATAATCCTGAGCTGATTTTGAGTTTGTGCTTTAGTAATAAAAAATAAATGTATAGTTTCTTAACAAGAAAAAAAATTATAGATTATACTAATGTTTTTTGATAATAAGGTTTTGTGTCAACAGGAGATAAAGTTACATGATAAAAATTATTTTATTATAAAATCAAGAAATTTTGCCCTGGTCTGCATCATGTAATTTCTTTCTGTTTCTTGCGAATTAAATATGTTGCATCATATTCGTACATATTAAACAAATATGTTATGTATGTAGGCTCCTCCCAAATAATTTATTATGTAATACCAATGTTTATATTGCCATACCTTCCTCTCATCCATTAAAAAAATATTACATAATTATTTGTAGGAATTTTATAAATAGAAATGACAAAAATAACAGGGGGAAACAAATCATGCAATATTGATCAAAATGATACACATTTCTGGTATATAGAACAAGCCAAAAAGCCTTCCATTCCTAGATATCAAGCCATTGATGTTTTTGGTATAACAGGCCATTGCAAGCCTTTTGTAATTCCAAATAAGCCATTGACACTTTTGGCATATATTTTCAACAAATAAAACTTGATTAGGAATTCAAATAATTCAACATTTGCAAGTTTTTTTTATGTGAATTTATCAAATTGCCATCCAATTGTGTTTCAGAGATGTGATTCTATCCTTTTGTTTTATTTCTTTTTTATTTCTTATTATTATTTAATAATTTATTTCTTATAACAAATATTTATATTTAATCATTTATTTATTTCTTATAATAAATATTTATATTTAATCATTTATTTATCTTATATTTAAAATCAAAATTAGTGGATCAAAAATAATTAATTTTAAAAGAAAAGATTAACAATTATAGTATTCAAATGAACTTATAATCTTTAAAAGTCAGACCAAAAAAATTTCAATTGGTAATTAAACCATGTTATCAAGTCTTGATACCATAATAAAAAATGCTGTAAACACTTTTTTAGGCAATTAATTTAATTGTATAATGATAAATAGTTTACAAAGGGATCAATAATTTATTGTTTTTTAAGAATAGCAATATTCTATACTTGATAATGATTTATTATTATTCAAATAGTTGATTTTAAACTATAAATACAAGATATTTTTGAATCAAATCATTTCTCCAACAATTCAATCTTCAATTATAACATTACAAAAAAAATTTATCCTTCTTCATATATTTTTTACTTATTAATTGCAATTAAATACAGGATATTTTTGAATCAAATCATTTCTCCCAGATTCCAAAAAAAAATTTTCATCCCTCTTCAATATATATTTGCAAATATTTGTTATTTATTTATTGCAATTAAAAAATGCCTTGAAACTCTTCTAGATCAGCTGCTGCAAAAAATAGAAATAATAAACAAAATCAAAATTCAGGCCAATTTACATTTACTACTGAAAGTGATGATGAATATTTACCCTCTTGTGAATGTTCTGAAGATAGTTTAGATGATGATTTTGTTGCAGAAAAATTCCAACAATTAAGTAAATCAAAAAAATTAATATGGACCAAAGAAGCAGATGTTAAGGGAAAAAACCCTATACTGGAAAATCTAAAGCAACCTATTATAAAAAACATGGCCCTTCAGGAGCATATGCTAAAGCTGCAAGTTTGTCACAACCAATAACTCATTTTTTTCCTATTGAATCTAAGGGTGAAAGCAGTGGCACAAGAAATGAAATGGAAGATGAAGATGACATGAACATTGATATAGAGATTAATGAATTAGATGAAGAAAATACAATGAGTGAATTGAATAATTCA